GTTATTCCCATTATATTAACATCCTTCATTCCTACCAATGCTCTAAAGTCATCTATTTTATTTCTTATACTTCTAACATTACAATAGTAACAATTAAGTCTATCCTCTTATTCTTTTGCATTTAGTTTATCCTAGCCCTCACCACTGTCCTAGTTTAAAACTTCTCTTACAGCTGAGTTAATAGCCCCAACAAAAAAAGCCAGCCCCTACTCTATATAAATATAAACCATCCATTCCAAAAAGCTCCTTTTTTCCATTGAACTGATCCCAAAAGTCCAACCAGCCAATCTGCTCATCCTTACATACTAACCTAAGTCTAGCATTTAGCCCTAGTGACCTACTTATAAGTTTATCCCCACAATTATTTCTGGGCAGTATTCCTGACACAATTAATTTATGACCTTTTTCATTAAATGCCTTTATCAACCCCTTGTACTTATTAACTAGCTCCTCTGACCTACCTTTACCTACATCATTAGCCCCTATGTGCACAATAAAAACTGCTTCTCTGCTAGCCCCCTTTATCATATCTCCTGCTCTGTCAGTTATATCCTCCACCTGTACCCCTGGCTGACATAATCTGATTCTTTTCTCCCTATTTATCCCACAGACTATCCTATCCAAGCACAGTAAATGTATCCAAGTAAATAACTAAACTGTCTATATACTTTATGATTAAATATTAAAACAAGACTCAATATAATTGTGGTGGTGAAGCTTAAGTTTAACTTTTTTTTTTTACAAACATGTCTGTACTATAAAATGTTTCCTTTCCCTTTGTATCATAATCCTATAATAATCATAAAAAAAATCTAATTTTTCTTGCATTAAATTGTTTTATTTTTCGTGTCTCACTTCATTTGTTTTTGATGGTTTCTTGTGGTTATTTTAGGTGCTGTATAGGTTTAGTTTAGGCTTCTGTGTATTACTTCAAGCATTAACTTTGATTTTTAAATATTTTGAAATCCTTCTATACAAGAAAACATGACTATTACAAAATTATATTATGAAATATGAAAAGAATTTTCTTTTTGTATAGGAGAGTAATACACTTGCTGCTAATTATAAAATTTTAATAATAATCATTAGCTTTCATAACCTTCACTACTATGACCACGACACACAATCTCAACATTTTAATATCTTTCAGGTTTTCAAACTTGTTCAGCACATTTTGAAAAGTTTAGATAACTAAATGTTAGTAAACATAAAAATGATAACTACAGGGATCTATTACTTTAAAGTTTTTTGTGACCTAAGTTATATTATTACTTTTACTCTCACAATAAGTAAGACAATCTTTCTATCTTAAAATTTACCATTCAGACCTACGTTTACTTCATGAATCTAAACACTTACTCTTAGATTTTTGACGGTAATGTAATTCTGTTGAGGAGTCATAGCTAGGATCTCCATAGCCGTTTTTGGATCATTCTAAAGGAAAAAAATTCAGTGACTGATATGAGTCACAATCAGAGCTGAAGAAAGTGCATGCACATACACACATGTTCACTGAAGACTTTGACCTACAAAGACTTCCCCAGAAACAAAAATGTTATTATTACAGAAAAAATATTCTAACAAATGACGGACTGCATCAATCGGTGTTAACTGCTAGAAATCAAAATGATTGCTGGCAAATTTGTTCATAACATCACTCTTATTAATGCACCATTACTTCCTGGACAAAAATGTTTCCTAGTATTTATCTTGATATACTTGCCTGAGTGAAAATTTATTTCACATCAACTTAGTGTATCTGAAATAAGGACAAACCAGCTTTACCATGTTCATATTATTTTTACTCTTCAGAAGAGAGATTATTTTAAATACTAGAGACCTAATCTACAAATCTTCAGCACTTGTAATCATTGTGGTACACCAAAGATCTCTGTGTTTAGCAGAGAGTACAGAAAGTTAGGGTCTGTACCCAAAGATTTTAGTGATTCTGCAGAACTGGTCATAAGTCTCAAACAAAAATGTTTCACTTGAGCATCAAAAAACTAATTATGTGATTGTTAACCACAACTTTCAGAAAGATAAAAACACATTTCTATATCACTACAGAGTGATAAAGTAATGCTATATGTGGTAACCACATGCTCCACAGGTAACTAACCTGATGTTTGGTTACCACTACAGACTTTGGAAAGCTAATAGTAATAGTAAGTAACCATTGTAAATTTCAGAAGGTTCAAATCATGCTTAGTAACCATTGTACACTTGAGAATGCTAAAACCATGCTTAGTAACCACAATACACTTCAGAAAGTTAAAACCATGCTTATTAACCAATGTACACTTCAGAAAGTTAGCCCCATAATATAGATGTTTCTGTTAATTACTGGCCTTGTTTATACAAATTAATTTAACACAACACTTGATGCACATCAATTCAACACTAATAGTCAGTGAAAACTTCAGTTAGCTATTAAACATAATGAACATCAATTTTATGGTGATAGCCAGTGAAAGTTATCATTTTCCTATACCGAAAATATATTTTCGATATGTACTTACCAACCTTCTCTCACATATATAGCTATTCTCTTTCAGTGCTGCCCTCAAAATGCAAAATGTTTTTTGCATGCCACAAGCCATGAACTCCCATGTACCCCAGGATTAATGTAGTTCAACTGTGTCTCGCATGCAAATCATCACGCGACAACCCTCTGCCAATAGGAGTGTGATACATCTTCTTGACGCATGTGACTACCTCTATTTGATTCTATCAAACTATTGCTTCGAAATTAGGTAGATAGAAAAGCACTGGTTTTCAGTGGAGAGAAAGGGTGGGAAGTGTGAGAGGAGGTAAGTACCTACTGGAAATATATTTTCAGTAGAGGAAAATAATAACTTCTGATATGGTACATTACCTCATCTCATATGTATACCTAAAATCCCACAATGAATAGGTGGAGGGACCAGTGTGAAGAATAGAAAGTGGAAGGGGCACAACCAAAAAGGGAGAGACAGTATATCGGAAGCTCAATCCTACAGAAGAAAGACTGTAGAAGAACCATCCACAGACATGAATGCGGGGAAGACAAAAATAGAAGTGCTCCAAGGTGTAGAGTGGATAGGGTGCAATGGAACATACACTGCCGGTCAACTCTAATCCAAAACCAAGCAGTATTGGGAATAGAACCTCCGACCCGTAGTAGGAGGAGGGTCCACAACGTCTTCACCTCAAGTTAAGTAGAACAGAAGGATGTACTGTGCAAACTGAACTAGAAAATGGGCAAATCCACAAACAATCACACATTGGGTGATGGTAGAATAAGGGATCCAAATCAAAGGGGTGAACTGCAATGTGACAGATCTACTACAAAGCAGCTGCACCCTCTAGACAGAACCACGTGGAAATGGATTGCATTCATAAAATACAAGCAACCTCACCCTCTGGATAGAACTGTACAAAAGCTGTATGCAACATCAACCTCTGTGATCTACTGCACGGAAGTGGAGCATATTTATTTGTAGATATGCGCAACATCAACCCCCAGATAGGACCACACAGAAGTGGATCGCATGCCATCTACACCAGCAGAATACCACTCCCCTACTCTCTACTGAATGGAAGAAAACACATTCTGGTGGACTCCTCCAAGGTTCACCACTCCAGCGACTCAGAACTGGAAAGTGGCAATGACTCCCATACTCCACTAGAAGAACAAGGTGAAATAAAATATGGTGGAGAGTGAGGAGGAACACCAAACACTGGAGACAGTGCAACAGGTGACCACAAAAAACCCTATATTGAAAAGCATACCACCTATGATTTATTCAATCGAAAGGATAGCAGGCATGGACAGCTATCCCCTTCTGCTTTACCCATGTAAGTCCATGGGTTAGTACAGTCCGGAATGGGGATATTAAAGAAGCAAAGATATTGCAAGGAAAACCTACTAGCGATCTTGTGGAACACCTCTTCTCAAGAGTGTGCATTATTGGCCATGTGTATATTGTTTTATTATTATGTCATCTTGGCCGTACAGTGCAGATTTGAGATACAGGAAGTATACCTGGACAGGCAACACTCACCACAGAGTGGGATCTGTAATGATAAAAAGGGGGGCATGGCACTGAAAGAAATTAAGATATATATAAAAAAGATATGAAGGATGGCAAAAGGTGGAAGAAACAGTCACCTGATGAAAACAGTGGGAAATGAAAGTATGAAGTGTAGTCCACATGCCTGACTGAAGAATTTCCTCCAACAGACGATGGAGATGAGATGCCAGGAAAAAGATAAGGTGCCAGATCTGATATGACGACACGTGTAACAGATTTTGGGAAGAAGGAAACAAGGATGACTATGCCCATTGAATCAAAAGCCAAACCCAACTGGTATGGGTGGAAGGTCAGGAACAGGGGAATGTTGCCAGAGGATGAAAAGTCGGGAATAAGAACCATGGAAGGAAGCCATGTGGGCAATGTAAAAACAAAGAGCATGTATAGGACATAGAAGTCTATCCAGATATGACTAGGAATAAAGGTGGGATATGGAAGGAAGCAAAATCAGCGATAAGGAAGAACCATCCTCAGAAACTGCTGAAGTTTTGGGGAGATAAGACTGATACAGATAAAGGAGATGATATTGGAATGGTACAGAGTACGTGAAATGTCCATGGCAAATATATCAGACCAACAATGCCCACTGGCTAACAGGAGTAGGAAATAAGTCTTAATTGCTAAGTGAAACAAGGAACATAAGGACAAAGGTTCAAATGTAGGTACAATAAGGCAGTGAAGAACATCACCGATATTCCAATAATGAAGGACTACCTGATGAGGAGGTCTACAAATCCAGAATGAATGCAACAATAGGAAGAGGGGTAGGAGAGGTAAACACCAAATGGTACCAGGAAAAACAGAAGGTGTGGGGATAAGGTTGCACAATAACTAGTTATGGAAGAGAAAGAAGTCTCACAATCGAACAGCTAAGTGAGGAAATCTGTAAGAAGAGGAACAGTGTGTCGAGAAAGGGAAAACCCAGGCTCAAGGATCAATGGCGGAAGATGTTCCAGTTAAATGATCCAAAGCATGGTGTGCTGCCAGCAGTTCCAAGACCTCTCAGCTAGAAACCATTGACTGGAAGCCTCCTGCTGATTGACCCCCACATACACCCAAACCATGGAGAGAAGCATCTGTAAATAGATGAAAATCTGGACGAGGTGGAGGAAGCGGTACAATCGACAATGAGAGGGCCTTGTTCAACCACCAATGTAAATCATCTAAAATGGAAGGAGGAAAGGTAATGGTAGATTCTAAGGGATCACGAGCAAGATTCCATTATTAGTAGAGAGACCACCAAGGAGACCACATATATGCCTGACACATGGGAATAAGTGCCTCCATAGAAGACCAGGTCCCCAAAAGCAATAGAACCTTGCAAGCAGAAAGAGGGGGAGCAGCAAGGGCACGGAGAACTGTAAGCTCCACTGATTGGAGTTGAAGTGGAAAAGGTTGGGCCCGACTGAGGTGGGTGTTGAAAAAGACACCCAAGTGGATAAGATATTGTGTAGGTAAAGACTGATCCAACTTGATAATCTAACCCACTCGAGCAGATGAGTATGTTATGAATATTCCAGTTTTGAATGAGCTAACATAAGCCAGTTACCCATGTAGTGGTGTAAACACAACCCCCAAGCATACGGAAGTCGGGCAAAGGCTTTGACCACCTGACAAAAGACATATGGAGCTAAAACAAGCCCAAAGGGAAAGATGCGAAACTGATACACAACCCAGTATTGGACAAACTGAAAATAACGCTGTGACAAATGAGAAATAGGACATGGAGATAAGCATTTGAGATGTCTACCTTGGCCATGTACAGTCTTGGTGAAAAAGCCCACCATCACGTGAGAAAATACTCTATGGTAAAATTGAGAAGATCCAAAAAGTGATTAAGGCAAAACCGATAGATCACAGGAGCTAGTCCCAAATTTTCTTGGGGACTACAAAAAGCCTGGAGTAAAAACCTGGGGAAGGTTGGCTGACAGACTCGATAGCTCTCTATGATAGAAGAATCCACACCACCTCAGGTAACGGAAAAGATATTGGTACAGGAGACAATGGGGTGGGGAAAGGAAACGGATGAAATGTCCTTCTGACAAAACCTGGATAACCCAAGGATCAGTAGCGAATTCCCTTTATAGAGGAACAAAATCAGCCAAATGAACTTTCAATGGACCAGAACACACAGAATAGTCACATGTACTGTACAGCTGGCAATGATGAAACCTACATCGAGAAACATGATGAATAGTGGAACCTCTAGTGGTAGGAACAGGTAAAGGACAGGAGGGTACAGGATGGGGAACAGAAAAAGAAGATTGTAAGGGCTCAGAATGAGACAAACGAGCAATCAAAGATGAAAGGGTCAAATGTTGCCTCACAGATTCCACATACGATTTCAAAGACTCAGAAAATTCCCCAAAAATGGACTGATGGAGAAAAGAATACAACTGTAAGTCACAAAGATAAATGGATGGTAAATGAACCTGGGAAAAGACAGCATCCCTCCCCAAAGATTCCACCAGCAAAGAAATCACATGTGAAAGGATAGAGCCAATGAGGACAATTGCACCAACATGGAAGTAATGAGGGAGAGGTATCCTCGAAAACCCCTCAGGAGATTGGTGGATGACTTCAGAAAGGAGGTGTATGGTGGACTAGTACTGTATGAGAGCAATAAGGGTAGGAGGAAGGTGGAAAACTGTGAATGGGATAAACAGAGAGGATTTTCAGGATCAGCCCCCATACAGGAAAAAGTAACTCCAACTGTTGAGAATCAAGAAAAGGTTGATCAGCCTGATTGTAAGCAAAGGCAAAATTATCTGAGGTTTGTGAAGGGTGAGGCATGCTAGCACCCATTTTCAATTGAGAAACGAAATGCTCAGCATGAACCCTGATGTAGGGAGAAGGAGGGAAAACAAAATACTTTGAGGAAGGGATTTCATGTAATAAAGTAGGTACAGGAAAATGAGAAATCGGGGAAATGGATAAAACAGAATACATCTAAGAAATCATATCTAAAAAGGCTGAGTTAGGCCTAGCAGATTCCGCAGAAGAGGCTTGGGAAGGCACAGCATAGTTAGGTGGAGGAAAAAGGCTGTCAAAATCCACTTTGTCACGAACAGATTTGGCAAAATCATGGGGAAGTCGAGCAATATCGGGAAAAGAATGGTGGCTCATATAATGATCAATCTCCCGATGAATTAATGCCGAAAATTCCCCGACTTGAAGCCTGTACAATTGTGCTGGAAGTAGATGGAAGAATTTCCGAAGTAATACCATGAACTTCAGAATTCATCATAAATGGTGAATAATTAAAAAAAAAAGAGAACAAACAAAGGTAAGTTATTGCGTCAAACTACAGAAATAAACTGCACTAAAATATTGGAATGATGTTTCTACTTCAGAAAAGTATTAAAGAAAAACATGTGAAGAGGGCACAATCAAAAATCGTCTGCACCAGATCATTGCCTAATGAGAAGTGATAGTTTGGTAGAATTGAATAAAGGAAGTCACATGCATTAAGAAGGTATGTTGCACTCCTACTGGTGGAGGATTGTCGCATGATGGTTTACATGCAAGATGCAGTTAAACCACATTGATCTAGGGTAAGTGGGAGGTTGTGGCATGAGAAAAACTTTTGCATATAGAGGTTAGCACTGAACAAGAATAGCTATACATGTAAGAGGGGGTAATGTACTATATTGGAAAATTCAGTTAACTATTAAACACAATGAACATCAATTTAACAATGATAACCTGTGAAAAGTTCGGTTAACTATTAAATACAAAGCACATCAATTTAACAATGATTACCAGTAAAAACTTCAGTTAGCTATTAAACACAATGAACATCAATTTAACAACGATAACCAGTGAAAACTTCAGTTAGCTATTAAACACAAAGTTTACTAACTGCAAAAACACTTCTGGAACTTGCATCATTTTGAGACAGTCCATCAAAACTTTATTTGTTAATCTAAACATATCTTTTAATAAATTATGCACCAAACCAAAACGACTGAAATTTGTCAGTCAAACAAAATTTATATATATTTTCACACCAAAAAATTACCTGGCTCACTAAATGCCAAAACAATTCTGTATTAAATAGTTTGAGTAATTTAAGTACTCAGAAATTTGAACAGCATTAAAGAACTATAAATTATTGGTTAACATCATATTTTGTGTATATCATGAGATTTAAAATTTACCAGTTTTATGATAGTGATTTCTTCAAATTAAGCTGTTAACCTTTAGTAGAGTAAGCTATCTTTGTACTGTAACAACAGTTACTCTATATTTGTAACTAAAATCAGAAAGGTAAATCATATAAGTGAATAATTACAACAAATGGAACAAACTTTCAGAAGTCTTGATATTAGAGAAACTAGTTTTAATATGATCAGGCAGTCTATTCAGTCTGTCAGGAAAACATGAGATGGAAGAGGATGCATGGATAACTCAAAACTAGTTTGTTCAATATCAAGACTCCTGAGTTTGTTCCATTTACTATGGTTCTTCATTAACTGCTACACATGATATTGTGTTTTACTATTGAGTCATATTTATCAGAAATATAATAAAATATGCAGCAATTATACTTTAGTAAAAATAAAAATTGTATTGTTTCCTACAAAGGCTACATTTATACATTTTGAGATTAACAGACCATGGTTTCTGGGACCTCATATAAGTAGTTTGTTTGTACATTGACAAGTAAAAGATTTTTAAACATTCAAAACAAAAATAGCTTTCTACAAAAATTTACAGTACCATTAATAGTTAGTAATTTCAGTTAAACAAACAGTTTTTGTGAGCATTTACACAAACCTGGTTAACTGCTAAAGCTGCCATAAATGCTACACCTTTTCGAATGATGTTGGCCCCAGCCTCTCTTGCTTGTTTTACTAGCTCCAAAGCATGCTGATACGAAGCAGTTGTATTCTTAGGACAGAAAAAGCAATTAATAACTATCATATATTCAATGTAAACTACAGAATTAAAGTAGATGATTATAAAGGAACTATACATTTAATGGTGTGAAGGTGAAAAAGATAAATAAAAACTTCATAAACATACATGACAAAACAAAGGATATTGTAAACCGTTACAAAGCAAGTCTAATATTGAGAGCTTTACAAAATTAACTTCCTCTCCCTCTCTTTAGTACCAAACTTATTGACATAAGTTCATGGAATAGAAGTTCAATAAAATTTTTAATGCGAGTCAACAAACATGATGACATGGCCTTTGACCCTTGACCCATCTGGAAAGGGTTAAATGAACAATATCATTCTCAGACTTGCTCCTGTGGGTTTAAACACCATATTGTTTCAGCAATTATTCCTTGCACTTTATTACAATTATTGTAAAAATTAGATAAAATCTTTCATTACAACTTTATTTTTCCATAAAATCTCATTGATAAAAGCATCCAATAACATTGAGCTTGATTAACTTTGAAACTTTATATTAAATTGTACAATAGAATGATCACTATTAAGGTTAGGATCTTAATTTACCATATCTAATGTTTGTAACTTTAATTGTGCATGGCTTGAAGTATCTGAATAAGCTCATATCAACTTGAAATATTACCACTCGGGCAGACTGGCATTAAAGGACCAACCCAGGCAATATCAAATGCTGTGTACTGGCTAAACAATTCAAATTTAAAATCAGTTTCTAAAATGTGTCAACTACACCAGCCCACTGGACAATTGCCTGGCTTCCCGGTGAGCCAACTGATTACCATTAATTTAAGTATTTACAAAACACAACTAAATGTAAAGACAGAGGTATTGAAATGACTAACTAATAGGAAAAAACTATTTAATGTAATGTTTAAAAACTACACACACACATATGCCTACATAAATACATATAGACACAAAAAGAGAGAGAGAGAAAAAAAACCTTTTTTATGTAATATATCATTAGATACTTATTTGTGCTTATCTAATAAACTTACCAGCTTGTAACATGCAGCTAATACCAGCACCATGCATTCCCTTGGAAACTTTGTACCATATAATTGTTTCGTTCTGAGATGTTCATAACAATCCACAAGGTCTTGATAACGCTGATGCTTAAACAGGAGGTCTAACGCAATATGATACGATGTGATTTGATCAAAGAAACCATCAAGTTGCTGAAAGATGTTTGTAGCATATTTAGATTAACAGAATAAACATAATGTTTGATTCAAGCTATATGTTCATAAATGTTTAAAAAACAGAAATATGATAAAACTCCATCTGGCATATTTTTTATTACCATGCTGTCTTAATATAACATAAAAAATATGCTTAGTTTAGAAGAGATTTTCGTTTTGAACCAAAGAGTTATAAAAACTTCTCATTAAATCAATCAGAAAAAAACACTACTTTAAAATTATCAAAGTTTAAGAACATGTAAGAGAAAGAGAACAGTTGAATACAGTTTTTGAAAACAACACCTATTTAAACAATACACACGCACAGTATGTTCTCATTACAGCTTGGAAAGATAATTTTTTTCTCAATGATTAAAATTTTTAATAATCCACGATGATTTTTTGTAACCTTTTCTTCAACTGGTCTATATTAAATCAAGTTTTTTTTGTTAATTTGATGGGGTTCCCACACACTCCTTCAAATTAAAAAAAAATGTTTTTCTAAACTATTTATGCACCAAACTACTTGTGGATCCCTGACTTTGTTGATTATAGTGTCTCTAATAACATAAATAATGGTGTAATAATAGACAAAACCATAAAATTACTCAATAAGATGCAGTATCTAGATCCTGCTCACAGAAAAAAACTGCTACTTTAAGGGTTAAGATCTTTTTTTTAAAATAAAACAACAATACACTCTTTTTTAGAAACATAAAACAGCATTAAAAACATAAAACCAGCCACTAGTCATATAGCCAGCTACAGAGGGATGTTTACGATATTAAAACTCAACACCCATACATGGGATTTGTTGGATAACCTAATGCTTTTTGTTAAAATAAATTTCCTACTTAGTAGTAATACTCAGTTTAAAAGTATGTTGTTTAATTTGTAATTTTACTTAAACAATAATGGCAGGAACATAAAGATGATACAAAGTCACGTACCTCATCATTCAGTGCTTGTAGAACAATGTCAGGTTTGTCTAAAAAGTAGAACAATCGCATTGCAACTGGTCCAAAAACAAAAGTGCTGAACCTTAGCTCTCTGTTTTGTTGATTGAACCTTGACAAAGTGATTATCAATTTGTTATTAGGACAATACAACTTCTAAGCCACAATATTTATAAGTAATTACTTGAAAGGTCTCATACTGAAAGAACATAAAAGGTTAGAAATTAATTTATAATATAAAGCTAAATTAATAAAGCACAAAAAGACTTGAATCTAGTCCTAATCTGGAGATAAAAATAAGCCTCATTTATAAATGCAAAATTTAAAGAAACAATACAACTTTTCCTCTATTTTTTATAGAATGTGAGGGATCCAAGTTTTACTATTCAAGTCCTGTTTTCTATCTTTACTGTTGATGTGATATTATAGGTAATATTTCTTGATTAAATCTCACACAAAAAATAGCACATTTTACAGATGAATCTGTTTTCATCAGAGGCAAACAAGACAAATTAACGAGACACAATTACAACAAGATTTCTAACACATATTTTAAGTTGAGAAACAAACACATAATTATACATAATCCAATACAGATTGCATTGTTATATGTAAATATTAATATCTGTATACACTACCCACTTACTATCTGAGAATCTGTGAAATTATTTTCTTAGTTGGAGTTCTTTCACTGTCAGGTGCAAGAAACAAATTTTGAGTAGGTTTTAAGAAATAAATGAAAGATTATAAGAAATGTTGTTGAATCAAAGTAAACTGGATGGACCAATAACAAAGGTTTAAAGGTAGATGAGATATGTTTGCTAGTGATAAGCTCCACATAAGCAAGTTAGAAAACACTGTTTGAATGAATTATATGACTTTACTAGAAACAGTTTAAACTAAGATTAGGGATACTCTTTGATATTGGGAGATAGAGAAATGATTACACTCATAAAGGAAATGAAAATATTATTTTTATTTATACCAACGCTAAAAGTATTTTTGATACTCAATACATTCCTAGGCTTAGGAGCTATAGTTGCAGTTAACATTTTATATGTCACTGGTATTACAGAGTTAAACAGAGATTATGAAGATGTTTCTTTATTCGGTATTAAAAGAAGAGAGGGGCGATTTGTTTTTTGCAGAAAGCAGGATGAAAACATGAGAAAAGCAATAGGTAAGATTGACAAATAGGGGTTTTAGGTTGAGAGTCCTTGAAGAAAGGGAAAAAAACATGCTTATTGACTCTTGAAAGCCACATGTTCAGGCATATAACACTGATGTGAAAAATTACAGACATATTTATTATTATTGCTCCCAAGTGGCTCAGTGGTACGTCTGAGGGCTTATAACATTAAAAATCAGGTTTTTATAACTACGTAGTTTTGTGTTTAACAGCAAACAAACAAATTTATTATTATTAGTAAATTAAGTTGCTACCAAAATAATTTTTTTTATTATAAAAACTGTAATTTAGGGATATTGACTGGTTTTGTCTTTCATCCCCACATAGTGAAAGATTCTTCAAGGAAAGATGCTAATTTACATCATGTCCTCGATACTGAGGAGGAAATGGTTAAATATATTGTTGTGCAAGAACACTATAGTGTTAAGAACCATAATATTATTGCTTCAAGCTTTCACTGAAATCACTTAAAAAATTTTAGGAAAGCAAATTTCCCGAAACTGTAAGATATCTCCAAAATGATTGTAAGGGTATAAACTAAGTGGAGAAAATGTTAGTAAAACTTTGGACATTTTGATTAAGCTTGTTGAAAGAAAAATGCAAAAATAATAATTACATTCCAACAAAATGAAAAAATACCAAGCTTACAGCATATGGAATTTACAAATGGAAAGAGCTGAGGATTATCAACATAAACAAAAAATGGCCAAGAAAGCCAATGCTGTAGTTAAAATATACTATGAAAGTTTCTTAAATTTTAAAACATCAAATTTGTCTGAAATTTAATTTCAAAACTGTCAATGATGGTATAATTTATAAAACTAAAGAAAAGCACTGAAATGTAAAATAATTTTTTTTAACAATCCTTTCATTGATCAGGAGACTTTTCCTTCTATTCTATTTCTGTTGAAATAGTTGTTCTAGAAAAGAATGAAAGAAAAGTTCCCAACCTTCATGAAATTCACTCTAAAAACCAGGTAGAAACTTAGCCGAGAGTTACAAAGCTCTAACTGTTGTTTTTCAAATCTCTTGACACTGTAACGATTTCTAATGATCAAAAGGTTATCAAAGTGATTCTTTTTCTTTAAAATATAGAACTACTAGTTTGACTTCTGTTATCAGGAAAGTGTAGGTAGCTTTTGTCAGAAATCATTTTGAAAAATTTTGAAATTATTTTTTAATGTTATGAGCATGCTTTCCAAAGAAAAGGGCTTTATCTTCTCTTACCTCCAAGTGTTTGAATTTTATATATATGGTTCCTACCTTTTTTGACGAGGACGTCCTAACTGGCATTGTGTATTTTTAATTTCACAAAAACCTTTTATAAGGTGTCTTACAAGAGGATTATTCAGTTGGATGATTTTATGTAATTCATCAGAAAAGTTAACAAATGGACATAAAATTGGTTTAGTAGTAAAAGCAGAGAAAGCTAATAAAGGAGCATTTTCATTTATAGCAAGAATATGTTCAGGGTTTGTCTTGTTCTCTATTTATGCAAATAATTTGGAGACCTTTATGAACTGTAATATTTCCAAATTCATTGATGATAATAAGATGCTCAGAAAAAGTAATTCTATTAGGAATACTACTTTACTTAAAATTATTTCAACAGTCTTACCAACTGTCCAGAATGGTTGAAATCATGGTCTCAACAGTCTTACCAACTGTCCAGAATGGTTGAAATCATGGTCTCAACAGTCATCTTACCAACTGTCCAAAATGGTTCAAGTCATGGTCTCAACAGTCGTCTTACCAACTGTCCAGAATGGTTCAAGTCATGGTCTCAACAGTCGTCTTACCAACTGTCCAGAATGGTCAAAATCATGGTTTCAACAGTCGTCTTACCAACTGTCCAGAATGGTTCAAGTCATGGTCTCAACAGTCGTCTTACCAACTGTCCAGAATGGTCAAAATCATGGTTTCAACAGTCGTCTTACCAACTGTCCAGAATGGTTCAAGTCATGGTCTCAACAGTCTTACCAACTGTACAGAATGGTTGAAATCATGGTCTCAACAGTCTTACCAACTGTACAGAATGGTTGAAATCATGAGATTCATCTTTTGAAACTGTTGTGATTTTATCAAACTTTATACAGCATACTAATATATGTTGACCATGTTTACAGCATATATGTTTACCATGATGTTCCTGTTTTATTTTGTATTAACTCAAACTTTTTTGTTTGTCGAAAACTCTTTCCACTTGGTGACATTCTTTAATAACAATAGATTTAGTATTGCAGTATTTTAGTTAATATCACTGTACAATATTTAGAGTAAAGTTAATTGTATTTGCAATTATTATTAGATGTATGGAATTTAAATTTGTCACTATACTTAAAAGGAAACATGAATGTTTATATTTTCATTGCTATGTTGTCAAAATGTTATTCATTTTAATAGCTTATACGTTGAACCCGTTATTATATGACTGTAGTTTTAGTATTAATTTCATAATGTCATTCATTGTCATGGTTAGCCTATAAGATCACCTACATCTCCTTCAACTTCCTATTTTCATATTATTTTTCACTTGGTACTTGTTAGTAATTAGAATCTAGTTAAAAAAAAGAGAGAGATGAAAATAAACTAAATATAGTTAGACATATAATGATATATAGCTTTGACAAGGACTGATATCTGATAGCCTAAGCCTTACCACAAGTACCATAATGTTGATGATATATAACTTTGACAAGGACTGATATCTGATAGCCTAAGCCTTACCACAAGTACCATAATGTTGATGATATATAACTTTGACAAGGACTGATATCTGATAGCCTAAGCCTTACCACAAATACCATAATGTTGATGATATATAACTTTGACAAGAACTGACATCTGATAGCCTAAGCCTTACCACAAGTACCATAATGTTGATGATATATAGCTTTGACAAGGACTGATATCTGATAGCCTAAGCCTTACCACAAGTACCATAATGTTGTGTTGTCCCATTTCATGGTTGCCAAATATGCAATATCAGGTACTGTGCAGTATTTATTTCATTGTTTTATACTATTTATATTTCATAGCTTCATTAAATCACGTGGAAGTCTGTAATTATATATATATTTCATCAACCTGTTTCAGTGATGTATGGTATCAAAATTGTTACTAATGGGCAATTCATTCATGATGAGCTACTATTTGTTTGCAAGCAGTAATATTTTGTGAACCTTTTATTTACAAACACTTCTTTTATATATTGTTTCTATCATCACCCTACTTTTTTCAGTTAAGCATGCTTCACTCAGAACAATAATGACTGGGGGGGGGGTACAATTTCAAAGGTGGTTTATACTTTAAATGATTTATTATAAACCTATACTGTAAATGATTTATTATAAACCTATACTGTAAATGAAATTATTATACACCTATACTTTAAATGAATTATTATAAACCTTTACTTTAAATGAATTAATATAAACCTTTATATGAATTAATATAAATCTTTGTTTCTATAGCTTAATCTGATGTGTAATATTTTCAAAGAAACATAGGTTATTGTTTCTCCTTATAATTCTGATCTTTTTATCTGCTACTTGTTAAATCCTGTAGCCCATTATTTTAACCTCCCTCCCCCTCATAAACTGAACCTCTATTCTTTAAAAGGTATCATGTTATTTGGTCATGAGAGGTGGGACAATTTTTTAATTGTTGCTTGATTTTTAGAGATACAGTTTATTTTTTTAAACTTATTCTAATGAAAAATGTTAAAGCTAGTTACATACTGAGTATTTTATATCTATCATCAATAACTGGCTACCTGTTACTACAGATTATTATCATTATCAATACCATCATTGCAATTCATATACTTGACTTCCCTTATTACTGATATTCCATTTTTGTAGAAACTTGTGCATCATAAAATGCCAAATGAAATCCTATATAACTACCACTCAGGAAAGTTTGTCCAAGCTTACCTGTGAGTATTCCAAGTTACATGATATTATGTGATTATCCCTAAGTGGATGATAACATACCAGAGGTGTGTTATCTCAGTATAACCTTAAGATTTTAAAAAAAAATCATGTTATTGTGGACAAGATAACAATTGAAGAGAAGATACTCTCCAGAAAATAAATTGCATACAAGTTTCTGCATTGTCATGATTGATTTTTAATAAATAGTTTGAATAAATATCTTTACAAAGTCATAATTAATTCCTTCAAACTTCTGCACATGATCATAATTCGAGACATAATAAGTCTCTTTTGAAAAAAAAAAGTAGAGGCACAGTGAAGACCAACTTTTTTTTGGGGGTCCCAACATTAAAGTTTACATATATAAGAAACCTTGTTTTAAGTTTGTTGCCCTGAGGTCACAGAGAACTTTGAAACATCAGAAGACCCACATTTACTAAACCAAAAACTTCTAAAATTCTGGGAAATGTAACAAAAGTCCATCATTAATTACATTAACTGTACTTCTGGATCTGATATTAACATACCTTTGCATCATTTTAAGACACAGTTCAATATCGTCTCCTTTGTCCTCGGCCAAATACACCATGTTTTTGAGATCTTCAGTAAACACCATAGGTTGACCATCATTATTGAAATACTGAGTCATACGAGCATGAAATCTTTCTGAAAGAGTAATATTGAAAAAATTGAGCACTAAGCAATCATTCATTTCTAAAAATGTTCATTATTATCATTAAAATAGTCAAAATGGCAAGTGAAGCTACCATACTATATGATTATTCCTGTTTTGACCTCATGCTGATTATCAGAGTAAAGAATCCGATAAATTATCTACAAATAGTAGTTTGACTAAATGTTAACTTGTGAGCATTGATTCCTATGAACCATGGCAATGACTGATAACCAGTTGCCAGAACTTTATTGTAAGTACTTAATGATCCACTAAAAAAACAAAGTTTATAAGAAATTTCAAAACAAGTACCTGTAGATATTTATCTCACCTTCCTCCATAAATGTTGACAATGCAAGGTAACTCCTAACGGGCAAATTACCTACTAACAGCCCACAGTTTCAGACTGATTTTGAATCTTAATAAATCCTTCAGGATCAAGTCTCACAACATAAATAAACACGAGACACAGAATAACATTAACAATCTATATATAAAGATAGATAATATAACAGACAATACAGACTCTCTCAAGACTTGCATAGCTATTCAAGCTTAATAATAATATATGCAAACTCACTCACATATTATTAAAGAAAAGTCAATTAAATAAACTAAATTCATTCACTGGTTCTCAAACTATGGAACTTCCTAGTACAACAAACACACCTAAATAAACAGTTATAAATTACCAATAACAGAACCTGATGTAAAGAACTGAACTCAATATGAACACAACAAAATATGCACCTTTGATACAGCTACAACCACAGAAGACATATCGTACAACCTACCAAAAGATAGGAAAGAAGAACTCATAATCAAAATAAAATCAGCACTCCAAAAAACTTTGAAGTGTAAAGTCCACTACAATACCACCATAACAAAACTGCCCTTAGGGACTTAAGAGATACCATCAAAATAATTCTATGAGCAAATAACAAAAGTAATGACAAAGTAATCCGGAACAAACAGGAATATACCATTAAGTAATTGAAGATGGCCACTATAAGAAGATCAAGTCTAACACAGAAACATTGAAAATAGAATTGAAAAAGAAACAGTGAAACAAGTAACACTGCATTGCAGCATCACCCCACATATCCATGGTCTACTCAAAATTCACAAACAAGGCTACTCTCTCTTTCTCAAATTAAATGAAGAAATTCAGCATGCTGCCTCTTAGATAGATAAATGTAATATCACTATTAACAGGTAAAACATCCTCACATGCTAAAAATTCAGTCCACTTTGTAGAGCTTATAAGAATAACCACACAAGACACAATGATTAGCTTTGATGTATCCCATGTATTCATTAATTTACTTGCCTTTGAAACACTAAAGATATTTTGCAAACATCTTGAAAATGATAATAATAGAATTCACAACTTTCTGTTTCAGCACTACTTCTTTCAACATAGATAAAAATATTATCAACAACAAAGAAGGCCCTGCATGGGCACATCTATAACTTTTACATCAAAATTAACATTCTTAAAACAGCTGATATGGGACATGGTTATGTTGATCATACATTCATAATACAGCCACACAAAATACTGACAAAAATCCAGAATACAACGTACAAACAGACGACATTCAGAAATAAAATTTTCCGTACATATTGAAGAAAATAAGTTTGTATACTTGATGGTTAACAAGACACGAAATTTGTACACCACAAGAGTTTACAGGAGACCCAAAGATATGGGTAAATACCCCAATTATAGATAAACCAGTCCCAATGGTGTAAAGAGTCATCATAGACTGCCTAGTCTCCAGAATGAACAAGATTTTTATAGTAATAATGCAAATACATAACAAGGAAGAAAAACACGTCAGTACTATACCTTTTGACAATAAATACCCTGAACACTTGATTAAAATAAATATGAAGAGTGAGCAGAAAGGAAATTAGATACATAGGCATATTCACCTATTCCAAAGTCTCTCTGAAAACATACAGAAAATATGTAAACAGGAAAAAATCATAACAGAATTCACGAGTCAAAACACAATGTGATTACAATTAATACAAACCAGCTAAAGATCAAATGGAGAACAAAAACACTATTTACGTCGCTTGTGAACATAAACTGCAAACAAAAAGACCAACAAAAGTTAGAATTCAGGAGCATAACTGTAATACTGATTTCTCTGCAATAACCTATCATTTCAGAGAAGACCATACAATAATATGGAATAACACTGAAATAACAGGATATGAACCACACATGAAAAGATAATAGAAGCCTTTCACATCTACCTAGCTGATAACACACTCAGTAAACCTAGCAGAGAATTCAGCAAAATCTGAATACCCTTCATGAAACTATTCAAATAGCTGGTTCAAGTCCTAATGGGGAGATACCAACGAGCGGATGGTTTATTACAATTTTGTATACTCTAATGTAATCATGTACCAAAATAAATGTTTTGTATTTTTTCTATAAACTTGGTAAGCTACTTTATTGTAAATGAAAAGCTCTAAATTAGTATTATAATTTCTTGAGAACAAATTAGTTTTTTTTATGTGATATATTTGTAGTGTATATGTGCATGTACATAAAAAATATTAATGTGCCAATGTTTTAAAAGTCTATTGCAACATATTGCAGTATAAATACAAAAAATGGTTTATTTCCATTTTGTCTATTGCCAATGGAAGTAGACAAACTGGCATGTTACCAGGTATATACCCTACAAGACTTTATAACAAGAAGACCCATTCTTCTCAGGGCTTCCTTTAAGATGGCAATAGATTAGCAGCTAAAATGTTTGATATAAAGTGATAAGAATTTTATAGCAAAAACAGCAATTAATAATAACTTACAGTTAGTGGTTGTATAGGATAACAAGCACATCACCAACAATCTGAAATTTATTTTTATATGAAAATGGTGTTATATAAACTGTTTTCAAACACAATTTCCAAACCCATCTTAAAACATTTCTATTTCTATTACCTTTCATGCTTCCAAACTGGCTTTTTATTCTTTCTCTTTGTTCTTTGTATTTGTCTATCCCAAGAAATTGCTCAGTATATATCAATCGAAACCCTAGGGAAAAACAGGTTTTTTTCTTCTATTATTCTCTCCTAATAAATTGTCAAAGCTGGTAAACTTGTTAAAAATATAACAAAAACTCCACATGAAAATTCATACTTTATTACTAACACAATGGTAATATTATTGAATAAAATTAACTTGCAAGTTTTGGAAGCCTTTACAGAAAAATAATATACTAGTTACAAAGAATTCATTTTCTACTTTCTCTATTATATAAACCACAATTAAAAATGTCATTATCTATATATAATGTTTAATTACATGTTCACACTTTAAAAAAAAATCAGCAAAATATTAACTACTGAAAAAATTAAGTGTTGACACAAGTATCATCTTGTACTCTTAACAGCTACAAAAACTATAAAAAAAATGAAAGGTAAATCATGTTCTGTGACAGGGATTTAAACCTGCAACCCTTAGATTGTGAGTTGACAACCCTAACTCCCAGGCCAGATTGATAAAGTTCTTGGGCCAGATATTTTCTCCAGTGTTTGAAGGAGTTTAAGGATTAGATATTTGAAACACTTGCAACTATATTTTGAATAGTGTGCTGATGCTGATGTTACTCCTCTTTTCAAGGAAAGTGATAAAACTGTCCCAATAATTATAGGCCTATTAGTCTTACATCAATGGCTGGAAAAGTTTCTGAAAGTCTGACAAAAGATACTTTGCAAAGTCATTTAACAAAGTTTAAAAGTTTGTTGTATTGTGAACATGGTTTCTCTAGGTGAAAATCTTGCTTTACTACTTTTTTTGTCATTCTTTGAAGAGCTTACAGCTTATGTAAATGAAGATATAGGTGTGAATTTGGTGTATTTGGATTTTTAGAATACATCTGACAAGGTACCATATAAAAGTCTTATTAAAAAAAATTATCTTTATAGGGGGATAAGTTGGCTCATTGGATAGAAAAGTGGATGAATGGAAGAAAGCAGAGGATTCTTTTAATGGTGTTTAGTCAAAATGGGTTAATGTCACAAGTATGGTACTTCAGGGTTCAGTATTAGGACCATTGTTCTTTTTGATTTCTAAGCATCAATGACAAAGATGAAGGAATGGTTAATAAATTACTTAATTTTACTGATTATATTGTTATAATGTGTTCTATCGTTAGGCAGGTTATTTTGAATTATTGGTAAAAATAATGCCAAGTCCAGTCCACATAACAATAATAAATTAGGTAATTAGGTAATTTGTAGGCCTAACTTCAAATACAATGTCTCAAAAGAAATTCATAGATTAATGATACCTGTACCTATCTTAGCTTTGATAAACACACAACTCACCAAGTAACAGAATAATAGAACAGGCATGATAACTCTCTCTACCAACACTGAATAACTTTTTTGACACTGAACTGACTCACTTATTGAATACTCAATAACTTTAGCCATTCATTATTTCACTGATTCTCATATTTATAAAGTACTCACTACTTGAATTTTTCCAGGTCATAAATGGCATGTGCCTCCTAGCAAATATCTAAATTAAGAAACTGGAAATAAAGCTTACAATAATAGTAAGGTTTAGGATGTTGCTTGTTGTGAGGAGGATGCTACAGCTTTACAAAATAATTTAGATCATTTGGTGAGTTTGGCATTTTATCATAATAAATGAAAGGTAATCTAATTTGAATTATTAGAATAATTTTGATGGGAATAACCTTAACAATGATATGGAAGAAAAATGATATTGGCATTTTGTTTGATCAATGTCTTAAACCATCCAAGCAATGTGCTGTTGCTAGTGGTAGGGCAAATAGGTTTTAAGTTGTATCTATAGAAATATTGAATACAAGTCTAAAGAGGTTATAAAATCATTGCATACACTGCATTTGGAGTACTGTGTTCAGTCTTGGGCTCTTTACCTCGACAAGGGCATTGAATTGTTAAAAAGGGTTCAGAGGAGGGCTATTAAGATGTCACCTGAGATGTAAAGGTTATCAGATGAGAATAGGTTAAGGTCTGTGAAATTGTTTTCTCTTGAAAAAACGTTAGAGGAGGATCTGATTGAGATGGTTAAGATTTTCAAGGGAATTGACAGTCAATGCATCATCTTTTTTTGTACTTTACTGATGAAAATGGTAAAACTAGGGGATACAAGTATCAATTTTGGCAAGGTAGGAGCCATCTTCTGCTAAGACAGTTTTATTTTTCTAACAGGGTGGTTACCTTAGGAATGGGTTGCCTTCAGATGTGGTTGAAGTAGGAAATTTAATGGAATTTAAGGGATGTTTTGATAAATGTTTGAATGATAAGGGCTAGCTTTGAGGTTTTTTCAAATAATTTAGTGTATGAGATGGCTAGATGGGCCAACAGGTCCTTTGTTGTCCTTAAATTTTATGTTAACATAAGTAAGAAAGAGCAAAAGCCCAAGCATTGACCCAGAAGACTCCACTAGTAACAAGGATCCAGCATGAATGGACCTTTTGCTTTTTCCTATCCAAACATCCTACAATTCAATTAACTAGTCCTTTCCCAACTCCAACTGATGCAATTTTCTAAATCTTTTATGTATCATTTTATAAAAAGCTTTTTATAAATATAAGTGCACATTACAAGACTAACTAGCCTATAAATTTCAAGGCTAGTCTTATCCTCCTCTTTAAAACAGGAGTAAAGTCAATTCTCAAATAGTCTACTGTCTATTGACCTACCAAAAACTTAGGCAAGATAAAAGAAAATAAGGATTAGAGAGGATATGAATAGTGTTCAAAACTAAAAATTGAGTATTTTTGCTAGGACTGATGCTTTATCTTTTACTGTGAGTATGATGGTAAAGTATTAGAGGACACAGATTTCAGATTTGGCAGGGCAGAAGTTATCTACAAATTAGGAAACTTTATTTTATGAACAGGGTGGTCAGCATCTCCAACACATCACCTTTAGATGTGATACACACAACAGGATTAGGACAGTTCAAGAGAGGGCTTGATGAGTACTTGGGGAATCAGGGATGGATATAGGCAGATGTATATTTGATTAAATGAATGAGGCAGGTGCAACTGGACCAATGGGTGTTTGTTGTCCCTCATATATTATATAAAAAATTGAGTATTTTTGCCATTTGTTTAAATCATTTTCAGTTTTAAAGGGGGAATGGTAAATTTTGTATTTAATATAAGTAAAATATAATAGTGTAAAAGGAAAGTAAACAACTGGACTCAAAAATGACACACCCTCTTCACAGTTATACCAATTAATAGTATTATATCTTATTAATTTGTTTATTCCCAATGTCTCTCACCACTAGCACTGTACAAGTTTAGTTTAAACTATCTTTTACGTTTAATTAATATACTTAGAGCTTCTCAAACATCCTACTGCCCAACCTTTGCAAATGTAGAATTTCTAACATATAATTCACCCTTAAGTTACTATGAAAATTATACCACGAGTTCAAACAGCCGACCTAACTTAGAGATTACGCAGTAGCTCTACTACTCCAACTAATAGTAATACCACTATTACTTGTACTAGAACAGGCAATACACCTAAAATTGTCAGAATTAAGTAAATATAAATAAAACATATTAACTAGTTTAGTATATTTTATTAAAAGATTTTAAAAAACACGCCTAGAAACGAAAAACTCCTTTTCTTTCCTATACCCTACGAGTTTTCTTTTTTATATTCTAATTCAGACGGCTCTTCTGCTAGCAACAGTCTACTCCTTTCCTGTTGATAAAGATTTGAAATACGTTTTAAAGATTTAGATATGAATAACTCACCAACATAATTCTTTGATTTCAAATCCTGCAATATTTTATTTGAAATAAATGTAGGTCGTAATCGAAATACTTGGACCACGTGCCGAGATATAGCAGTAGCCATTTTACTTCACAAATTCTCCACAAGATGTCCAACCGATTTGAGAGGAATTTCCGTTTCCTCTTGTTGAGTTCCCGTCATCCTCTTTATCGCCGTGTAAAGAAGTGGTGAGATTATCAAGTAAGTATTGTTAGAATTAAATTGAAAGACATCGAATTCACTTTTGAATTAATTTGAATAAATTACAAATTATCTTGTAGTTTTAATTCTATGGTATCATTTAAGTTTTGAATTTTACTGAAACTATTGCGCATGAGGTTATGAAACTTATTTTTTTATAGAACAATATTTAATAGATCAACATGTAGGCCTAGCGTAGATTAACTGTGCCATTTAATTAAAATAAATACGACCACAAATTCCAGATAAATAAAACATAACGTACCTGACGCGTTGTCTTACGTGTTTATTAAAGGTTACATACTTACAATAGAATCATTCCATCCCATTAGCATTCCTTTGAATCCTTTCCAACACTTTAATATTCTTTATAACTGACCTAAGGTAAGGAACCCAAGACGACATAACTTATCATAAGTTGAGAATGAGAGAAGGTATGAAATTTTGTAAGCGGCCTGGTATATTATAAATTCTGATAAAAAATTTAACTTAGTACTCTGAATGATAAGTAGTAAACGTTTGGGTACATTAAAAGTTTTTATTGATCTTGAGTTTGTGATCGTATTTATTTTAAGAATGGTTTACAGTCTCCAGTGTTCACTTTGGTTAGGGATACCCAGAGAATTATATGTATTTTTAATATATTTTTCAGCCACAGAAGTTTCTAAGTGTGAAGTCACAGTTGTGAATACATAAATCTCCCATAATCAAAATACTAAATTACTGTACACCAAACAAGAAAAGAAAAAAACCCTACAGTTTCCTTTGTTTATTTCAAGGCAACTGTATTCCCACTACTTGTAAATCGGCTATAATTAGGGGTTTTGTTGAATTTTAAACAGTGAAAGTAACAAAAAAATTACATATCATTGGATTCTGTAGTAAAAAATTAAATGTACAATGCAATTTGAGTTATGTGGTTTATAATTAACAAAAAACAATTAATAATTAGACCTGTAAGATGACCTTTGACAAATGCGAGCGTCTAATTGAAACAATGCAAATAAATTTGCTTTACCTGGTAACCTAAGGCATTGCATGAAATTTTTGACAAAGCCAGATAAAGTGTAACCCTAATAAAGTACTTCAATTTAAAACCTGTATGCATGAGTTTATATTATACTAATATAAAAGCCCATCAAAAATTATGAGAAGCACTACATTTATATATTAAATTAGACTACAAATAGGCCTACTGTTACTAACGTTATATAGTCAATGTTTAATAAGTTTTAAATGGTGAATAAATGTTAATTAATAAATATTCGTTTGGTATTTTAACACACACACACACACTACCTACTTGGCCTTAAAACATAAAGAAAAATAAACGTTTAATACTACCAAATATCATTTATCCTTTGAATAATCGAATAAGTTGAGAATTTGTGTCAGAATGTCCGCACTATGTTTTCTACTTCCTGTCCTAGAATACAGTGAAAAGGCTCAAGGGTGCTATAGTCTCTTTCAGAGTGCACACACGATAACATTTCATTTTTCTAAATACATGATGATTAAAGAAGTACTTCGAGACTGATGAAATAAATGAAGAGTAGGTGCATTTTTAAGGTACAGACAAATTCGTTTTAGTTTAATTCTATAATTTTTGTTAATTATTCAACAATGATAAGGCTTAGCTGAAACAGTACTTGATAAATTTTATTTTGCTTTTGGCTACAACTCAGTGTCATAAAACTTCTGAATTAAACTATTTTGCTTTTATATTATGAAGGTTATTAAAAACAATAATAAAAAACAAACCTTTCTAACAAATCAACATGAATATTGAGCATTCAACATAAACACCATCATTGAAAGCATTCTCGATAGAGTGACAAAGGGGAATAATCCTTTTATAGTTAGTGATTGATAAATGAAATGAAAACTGTCAACATCAAAAATCAAGTATGAACCAACGTATTTACCTATTAAAGTGGAGATTTTGTATTCACGTTGGTTTCGTGACTGATAGATGGGTATCTGTGTGTGAATAATGTTATTTCATTGTGCCTAATTCATTTAGGTTACTGTATGGTGAATTAAAAAGGACTAAAAAACCCATAAATATTATATACACGCATCACCACTGTAAGAGGTCCAACTGGTTTGCAGACCCAAGCTGTGCTGATGAGCCTTAAATAATAAAAATAACAGTCCACAGTAGAGGTTACAAACAATCAAGGAATCCATTAGACCTCTACATCACAGATTCTCTTTTCTATTTTACCTTTGGTGAAAAAGAAATCTGGGCCAAAAACAACACATTGACAGGGTATGTAAGTGGTCATATACAATAACAACATGGCTGTCATGTACTTGTTCAAAATAAAAAACAAAGGCAAAGTTTAATGACATTTTGCCTGGTTGCATAACCCCTGCTATTCTATCAGTTTTTTATTCCTGGTCTTCCTCGTCTTTATGAATATATTTGGATCTCTAATTCAAATTTACATTTCTAAACATTCTTCAAACTGACCATTCAAACCCTTAATAATTTTGAACAATTGAATTAAGTGACTCCGTAATTGATTTATGCTGAAAAAAGTTGACCTTTCCTTATAACTTAATTTATGTAAGTTAGACATTAATCTGGTAGCCAGTCTGTATTCTGTTCAGAACATGTTATCAGTTCTGAAAAAAGGAGGCCTTGTTAGAATTCTGTACAAGTTCATATTAAACTTTGTCCCTAAATTCTAAACTCCTGCAAGGATAACCATTAAATGTTTTTTTTTTCTTTTCACCACATCT